GGTTACTCTGTCCATTCGGGTTTTTAGCTTTACTGCTTGCAATTTGCATAATGAGAGTTTGATCTTTCTTTATGCCATGGCATAGTATTTACCTTTCGAAGTAAACCATTTGGTTAACGGCCTAATGGTAAAAAAAGTCCAGTACATTATCATTGTTACGGTTTCGGTAGAATCTTCAAAAAAAATAATCTTGCCATAATCCTGTAAACACAGTGAAGTGTTATTAGCCAAAATGACTTTGATATTTCCAATGGTTGCACAAGCTTTTGATGTATTCTTTTGCTTTGAGTGCTCTTACGAAACTGATTATTTTTTATTGAGTTTCATTTTCCTCTTATTTTTTAAATTTTTTACCAGCAAACATTGGATGATAAGTTTTGTTCAACATAGTAATTTTTTTGGATGCAATTTTATTAGCAAGTGGTGTTTAATTATGGTATGTTCTTCAAGATTGATGATTATTTTCCGTGTTTACGTTTAGCAATACTTTGAATGCCTCATTCTGGTCTCAAAACATTTCAGTGTCACAACTCTGAGTGTAGAACGAATGATCAAGGGCTGCTTACTTGCTGGAATAGGAAAAATACTAAAAAAATAACAGACATTATTGAAATACTATTTTTTATTATTTGTTTAATCTTTCTATTAAATATGAAGTACAAATTAAACTACGTTTTTTAAGTATTTCTTTCATTTAAATATTAATTTTTCAATTAAACTACAAATTTTGCATGTTAATTTAAAATAAACTTTCTCTCCGTGCAATGCACGGGTACGAGTCTAGTACATCCACAATATGTAAAACAAAATCAAATCTAAATATCTGTAAGTCAATAATAGTCAACCTCATTAACCTACTGCTATTAATCGCTTAAATCATAAGAGATTTCGTGGGGACATAAAAGAAATTTATCTTTATAATGAAATAAGTGGGTGGTTATTTGGAAAACTGTCTGTCCACGGTAAACATAACCATTTTAATTATCAAAGCTTCACCTCTTCACTAAACTCATCTTTCATTTGGCAAAAAGGCTACGGCCAGTACTCTCTAGCCATGAAAAGACTAACAAAAGGTGGAACATACAAGATCAAGAGACCACTAGATTCAGAAGAAGAAAAAGGTAAATCATATTTAAAGAACACATACAGTTCGTCTTTACGTTTTGTGATTCCTATTCCTTTTTAAAAAAATGGTTTTTAGTTAAACAGACATATGTTCCTAACCCTATTTCATAACACAATTTACAAATATTACAAAGTTTCGAATTAAAGATGAGAAAGTATTGAAAAATGAAATATCAATCCATTGATGTTGGAGGGTTATACCTTTTGAGCAAATGAGATTAGGATATATGTATGTGTACCTAGCATGAAAAAAGGTTGATTTCAGAAAAGGCGAAAGATAATAATTATTAGAACATAAAAAGTGAAATTGACAAATGACAACTCTTTATTACCTTTTGTGATTCATCTAAACCAAGAAGCATGTGATACCTGCAACATATATGAACTGTTAATCAAATGAATTGCATTCATAAAAATTCAAATACATTGTAAGATATGTAATTTCTTTTGTATTGCGAGTACCTTTCATATTTCATTCAAGAATAACAAGTTAGACGTTAGGGTGTACCTGCAAAAAACTTCATTAATTATAAAGCTTCGGAAGAATGATTAAAAACATAAAAAATTTCCCATTGATAAATAAATAAGAATATAGTTAATCACATAACTGTATATTGCAGCTATGCTTGATACATTACCCAGGGAGAATCCACAAAGGAACCACATGTACCTATCATTTAAAAATTTAGATTAATGAAATTGTCATATAGACTTAAAAAAACAGTGAAAAGGGTTGTAAGGTTTGTTCTTATCTTGCATTAATCCGACCCAAAAAGGAGTATCTTATATTATCGTAACATGTATGGCTTCAAAGACTAACTCATGCAAAATAGGCCAATGAATCTGAATCAAAACAGCCCGTTTCATATATGCATGGTCCCCGGTTGTAAGATCGGCATAGTATTGAAAGAAAAATTTTGAAGGACTGTTAAAATATATCGGATGTAAAAGATGGAAAACAAAAATATTTGTCAGAATATTTCTTGGGATTGATCAACAAATATTAAATTTCTATATGATGCACGACATTCTTGAAATCTAAGGTAAAAGAAATAATATAAAACAAAAACACAATTCAAATAGCCCATAAAAAATTTAGTAAATAATATAATTCCGACACTAAAATGGTGATATATCCAATAAAAAAAGAAGTAAAATTCTATACAAACATCACGGTGAAATGGGGATAGATCCATTATTACTGTATCACAGTACTTTTAGATCTATCCACTAAAATATTTTGAAAACTCAATTTTTTATGGGTCGATCAAAATAAAACCGGAAAAGGTTCCTTGGTATCAAATAACCTATTACTGAGCTGAATCTATGAGCTCGAAATAGGTATAAGGAAATATCCAGCAGATCTAACCAAGGAAAAATAGTCGGTGGAAATTAAACATAAAAAACATATAAGACTCGAACATATGATATTTTTATTTGAATATTTGAATAAACATAAAAAACATATTATATGTTATATTTTACAACATATCGCGTGTAAACCAGTAA